ATTGCCATATACCGGGCACAATTCCAGACTTCGTGATACAACTGCGATTTTTTTTAAAACACAGTAATACTTTGCCCGACCCGGGAATCGAACTCGAGACCCTTTGCCCGGCAGTCGCACTTGCGACCACTCAGCCAACGAGGCAGTTAATTGTCGGTATAATTTAAATTTTATACTAAAAATTGGGATACTTTATCATAAAACAATCGAAGATTTAAAAGATACCTAATAACACAAACCACTTGCCCGAAATAAAGCGATTCGTTGAAAGGTATTAAAGTAGGCAATGCAATTATGCCGCGATCATATTAATACATTCCGAAATTCTGATACAGTCATTGATTGATTGGCTCATGATATTACAGAGGTTAAGCTTTTCACATTCAATATTGCTATTAAGTAGGGAACTGTGTTTACCTTCTCCATATAGATTGCGTAAACGAGCCATTTTATAAACGCGTTACTGCATTAACGGGAACACTCAATAACTACAGAGGGATACGATTTGCTTTCTAGAATTTTGAGGCACTTTCTTTTAAGCTTAAAACTGTAAAATATCTTTAGTAACCAAAACTATATATAGATAAGTTATTGAGACTAGCCGTTAATGAAGCGCAGCGGATATTTATTGTACCTCTGTGTCAACAAGATGAGGTAGCCAACTCGTATTTTTTCAACGAACACAACACAACGGTTAAAAGGTAATATGTATAAACTTAATAGGTAAGCGATAAAGAACCACACTGTTCAGGAGGTAAAGTTTAAAATGAACACAATGCGACGGAATATAAGACATTTTGTTCATGTCATTTCCAAGACCAAGGTTTACTTTACTGTATTGTCCACTAATGCCAGTTAGAGGAATGTCCGTAGATCTCACCACTAATAATCCAGTTCTGTAGATCTCAGTTAAGAACATGAATATTCAATTCGACGGTGCAATTGCAGCTTATAACTGATTCATAAGCTAAGGACACACTTAACTTTAATTTGTCACTGACTTTAGAATGCGCGATCCCTACAGTGTGACTTATACCTAGATACAGTTTTATTCAGTTAGGATAATCCTGTTGGACAGCGCCGGAGATAAAAGCATTTTACTGTTACAAAAGTAACGAAAATAGTTCAGTCTGATAGCTTTTATTGATGGCTCTGATTTGATAGTGCAGCTCGTCCATATCAATTAGTTTTACAGTCTTGTTAACAAAGCTTCCATGTTTAATGCTGCAAGTATTATTTAAAATATTAAACGTTACACGAAGCATTGAAAATTGTTTAAAGATTCTTATTCACATCAAGTCAATCATCGTCGAATAATGTAGTTTTAGACATTATTTTCTTATTCATAAGCTATGTATTACCTATTATAGTAACTTCAGTACGGATTAGGCTAATCGGAGATTAAGGAATTACGATTAATTAAAATTAATTCAGTAATTCTTAATTCAATTAAATTCTAAGTTAATATTCGAGGGACATAGAAAATTAATTAATTGCTATTTCAGTATTATTAACAGAGAATGATCCGATATTACTTCTATCTTTTCTAAATAAAGGATGACTTCGTAATTCTATTTTCTTTTGTATAAGAAACGGTACACAGAATCTTTAATGATGAATCTATACTGCTTTTAAATAAACCTCTTGAAATCCCCTCAAAGAGACGAGAGCCAAAGAATCGCGGGATCAGGCGAGAGGAAGGTCCTTGAGAGACCCGAGGCCGAGATATTCACTTCTTGCTTTTGCTACAAAGACCTGCTATTGACCATGTTCATTGAATTCTTCACTTTAGAGTCGAGAAATTGTTGTAATTGAACGCTATAGAAACCAGTTAAAATGAAGGAACTACACAACAAAGGCACTTAAGGTTGGTTTTTTATTCAAAAATGGACTGCATGTCCAACTGGATTTAATTTATAATGGCATAAGAAAAGCAGAAATTGAACTTCTCACTTAGCGGGTGCACCCAGTGGAGCTAGGAACAACTGGCCCAACTTTATCGCAATTTGAACTCGAAAACTATTGCAATGTTTGGTGGAGACACGAAGCGGACGTCGGCATCGCGTCTACCAGTTGTTTCACTACTTCAAACTTAAGATTAATTAATTGGATGGACGCTAATTGCTTTACAGCGTCTTCAATGTATTTTTAAGCATTGTATTATGCTCTTTACAGTTCTAAAAATTCCACCATAATGCTACTTTGTTGGACGCAAAAGTTTATTTATAAATATGGCTGCCTGGTTCATATAAATACAACATATATTTACGAATATATGTCTGAGGTCCAAGTTCCTCATTAATCTATCTTATGTTCTCAAAGGGGTCACGAAGGGGGTCATGGTGCTTTATCGTTATTTTAATAGCTCCGAGCGACCCACCTCTTCCTGGAGTTACTGAGCCTCCAAGCTTACATTGTCAGTTTTTCGTCAAGGCCGAATTCGACATGAAGTTATTGTTCCTTACGGGAGCTCTGAGTGCGCACTCGTCCATAGTTTACTCGGTATTGTTGCTAGGGGTGCTCTCAGCTCTTTTACAAAAATGTTTATAGTAAAAATGACCGAAACCCTAATGCCTCCTCTCATTATTTGCGAAGTCAGCCGTCCGCGTTTAGAATCAAAATTTATAGCGAAAACAATTTAGGATTACGTTCAAACTAAAAGATTATTAATTAAGATATAAATTGATGGAAACCAGAATGTAATTATGATATGAACTAACATAATATTGTAATAAGGCTCGGCACAGGACAATGCACGCAATCAACCAGTCCTGCCCGCTAGATCCCAATCTAGCTAGTGACCAGCCAGTGTGACGTGAACAACCTAGGAAGCACGCTCCACACTCCAACAAAGATTACAATAACACAAATTAGACTTCCGATCACGGCTTCTTGGCAAATAGATCATTATTAAAATATAATTAGAAACGTTATCCCGTAATGAGTGTTCTCAAATATCAATTCGGGGAAAATCACCGGCAGAAAGATCGGGTGCCTACTCGTACATCGGGAATCAAATAAGAGATATTAGATTTCGTACTCAAAATACTTACTTTAATGAGTTCTCTTTATTCGATTATAATAGCGAACATTTTTCCGGGACGTTTGTTGTTATAGACAATTTAAAAAATAATTAGCTTACTTTTTAAATTCACTTGTCGCCTTATGTAAAGGCCGGGTTGTTGATTTCGTGTTTATGTAAGCTTTAGGCCCGATTTTAAAATTGTTTACATTAAAATGGAGTTTGTTTTCGTATCTTAAAAACAGTATCAGCTTACTTAGAGTATAATTAACGTTGAAATATCTAAATAAACACAATTTATCCTGCTTACTTTTTGTGTAATAAGCTAATGTTAATGATGACATTTGTTTTCAATTAGACTTTTCTTTATTTGAAGTTGTTCTGCCTGTGGACCCACCTGCTTGATTCTAAATATTCTGCCATCTCCGTGCTACTTTGACCCTGGCTACTTTACCTCGCAAAAAGCTAAATTGATTTTAATTCGCAGACATATTGTAAATAAACACATACAAAAGTAGAAGAAAAATACCAGCTTTAGTTGATTAACAGACTTCGAAGTTTATCGTTGTAAGGTTTTTTTTATATTTCTTTAGATGTGCGATTATGCTGTATCCTCCTAGATTGCGAAGGTACCTAATTAGTAGCTGAGAATAAAAGTTACGTGGGAATCTCGAAAAATACAAGTTGTTAGTAAACTTTTAATTATTACCATTGCAACTACAACGTTGTGTGTAACTCGTATAGAGTTGGTATTCTGTCTTGGGTATTCATTACCGATTTTTTAGGTACTGTTGTGACACCTACGTCGTTGTTAATACTATATTTTAGTACTTTTATTGGCTCGTGGAGTTAGGTATTGCGAATAATAGCATTATCTATTAATACCATGCTTCACTTTGACTAAATACTAGGTAAATTAAAGAAGGTATTTGATTTCAAACTAATTAATTAAGATTCCTAATTCTGTCTGGAAATCTGGCCTCTATGAGGAATTGCGAATTGATGATATAATCAAAAAAATTCACCTCTATCGAAGCTAAATATATACGCCACATTTTTTTCAAATACAATATATTTTATCTGACGTAATTTTTACTGAATATTGTCAGAAAGGAAAGCAATCAATAAAGGAAACCGCATGTTTGCCACATACGATAATGGAAGCTAGAAGGGTGCAGGTCAATTGTAGACAACTCGACCCCACTTTACTTAGACCCCGAGCTAGCACGGGGCGTATAGAGCACATCCCGAAATAATATCGATGCCTGACCCCACGTAAGCCCTCAGGCAAAGCTTACCCGGTTATACACAACAACATAGTATTACGTATATTTGTATATTTCTCCCTGAGGGTACAGACAGGTGGGGGATGCCAGGACGGTTACTTTACGCTAGTTATGTTCCGGGTAATTCCGGGCTCCATGTAATTTTCGTGTTATATAATTTGTTTAGATTTTAACACGGAATTGTGAAATTAGTATTAATAAAGGCAAACACAATGGGATCTACGAGACCTTTCTCTTATACCTTGTCACACAGATATAAATCAATAATCTTACAACAAGTAATCTTAAGGACTCCCTAAGTCCCTATGTTCTCGACCCGACTCAGGCTCTGTTTACATCCCATTCCGTACAACTGCAGTCCTGTACAAGGCAGAGCTAAATAAGCTTAGGATAGGACAGTACAATGTTGTAACTGCCACGTGCAAGACGTTCCACAAAATTTCAAATGTGACGCATAGCAAAAAAGGGTCAAGAATAAGGGACCAACCACTTAAGACGTCACAGAAGAGACAATGATTAGAAGTTTAACATTTATTTCGCAAGTTGATGTAAATATCAAGCTAGTGCGACCGTCATCCTGTAGTTTATGGCTACCTATCAACGCTAGCGAGGCAGTGGCGATGCAAGGTAACTTTATAAAGTACACTTGGCACATTTTTCAAGATTCCCATTTAATTAAAGTTAAAACTTACCTTGAAGTGGTTCAGGTACTCTTGTTGTCGGGTTATGTCGGTGGCTAGGATCAGGGAGCTGATCTGCTTCTCCAGCGTGGCGCGGAGTCCATGGCTGGATGGCAGCTGGTCCAAGAGGCCGCTCTCAATGAGGCAGCTCATCGCCGAGCGCCAGTGGTGGTTCTCTAACACCGAAGTGTTCTGTACAGACAAATATATTTGTTTAAAGTAAATGCTACCTGAAATCAAGTATTTTCTGTTTCTTATTTAAACGTAAGCAATAAATTGAGATATTAATTGAGTTTTCAAGAAATTGGGAGAAACCTTGAGGGGTAGCGAATCGATTCGTTGCTAAGACCTTTGTCAAGTCCCAATAATCCCCCTGAGCCCGATGTACACTGACTTAACTATTAATAAGGTATTCAATAAAGATATTTATATTTTTCCGTCCCACCTTTTCAGCGCGCCTATCATTCAAGGACGGGTTGCCGTTTAAGTACAAAGGACGCGTATCCAAAATTACCCAAGCATTCGGAAGCACGTGTTGAGATTTAGGCTCCGGCTACGGTTTTCTACATTGCTAACTATTTACAAGAGATTCCTGTACAATAGCTATACAGCATCTGTAAATAGCAACAAGTTATCCAATGTTCCAGTGAATGGTTTCTCGAAAATCGTTATGTTGTGTTGGAGCTTATTATATCTGTATCTGTAAACTCGTATTACCCTCGAGAGCTGAATATTTTGGTAACGAAGAGCTCCGCAATTAAGCTGCGCATCGGTGATCAAAGAGCAACGCTTAGCTAGTTCAGTCACATGACTTCTTGATTCGACTCGTTCCCAGAACTTGTCTTTACACTTTCCAAGAATTTGGGAATGCTATGACACTTGAGTTTCAAAACTTCAAAGTGGAATGCAAGTTAGGCTATTAAGGTAGTCTAGTAAGCGACGAAGTGTAACATACAGCTTCTTGCCGAAGCACAAGAGGTTAAATTAAACCAATTATCATGTTAAGTGAACAAATTCATACATATTAATGGTGGATATCGACGTTGCGTTGTCAAAGGACGGCTTTGTATCGCCGTGTGCGATACCCATTACCCTAAGCTAAATGACATGTCTAGAATTACGTTCGACTATTTCAACGGTACTGTGGATGATGATGGAACTAGTTCCGACAGGGGGATTATAGTTCGTAATCATCATTTCTATTATAGGTCCGAGGAATTCGAGGCTCTAAAAATGCATTTCATATCAATCATTAATATTACCTACTATACTTAGCTAGTGATAGAGAGAAACCAGATAACTACCTACACGTCAGAAAGCGCACAGTGTGCCTACTAGTTATCCACTGCAGATAAAAAAAACATTTGATGTTTACGTCAGCACTGTTTAGTGGCGGAACGCGTGTCATGTTGTGGTAGGTCAGGCCGCAAGCACCTCGTGTATGCCTGTGATTCCCTTTGACACGTAGCACGGCCAGCAACGCGCTAGCCAAAACGATCCTTTTCCAGTTTTTACAAACGTCAAACTCAGACTTTTTGCAATGTAACATGCATGCATGGCGTTAAATTTATGTTAGCTGGCATGAATTTCATCCTTCGTACTTTATTTTTACAGAAAAAGTACTGTTAATTATATAAAACAAAAATTATGAAGCACTATTGCATTAATCTTGATATTATACTAGATTAAAATGTGGCCGTTAATCAACAGCAAAAAGTCTTATAAAGAATTCTTAAACAACTTACAGTGTCGTGAAGCTCATAAATCATACGAACCTCAATATTTTCTGAAGATCGAATACCAAAATCCTAATCTTAATTATACACGATTAACTAAAGTCACCCCCAACATAATATTGAAAAATGAAACCTACACCTAACCTACGTCATTAAGCCCTAGTTTGAAGTTTATGAAAATGTTTTAACAAGATAATTTAATGATTTAAATGACTGAGGTTTTTCCTAGACTTTCTATAGTTATAATCTCACCCTAGATGTTTCTCTAAAGGGATTTGTATTGGATTTTTCTGGCAGTGCATCGGGTGGTATAAAGACCACTGTGCAGATTCAAAGGAACCCCTGATCCTGTGAAACGAGTAAACAGTATATTCAGGTATAGGTCAACCGGTTTGATCCACACTAATCGGATTTGTTTACGTTTTTCCCTATTTTGTGAGACGTTACTCCGGAAAGGTATAGTTATACCGTCTCTCTTTGAATAAACATCTTATATTTATAAAATATATATATTATAATATATAAAATTCAATTCAATCTTGTTTTTGTTAAAAGCGTTTATATCACCAGTACATAACGTTGTTAATAGAAAGTTTACACAATATAATAGTTGAGCTTTTTCCCTCAATGTTAATTTAATTTATTGGGTTTGCGTAGGATGCTCTAACAGTTTACTAAAAGTACTTAAATATTTTCTGTTTAAATAACGAACTCTAACAGTAAATAAAACCACTTTTCATTTTTACAAACAATTAGATTTGAATATCGATGCTTTTTTAGGTAAAATGTAGTTTCATATTTTTGTATTTACTTTTTTATATAAAACGTAAACATTGAGGAATAGTAAAAATATATAAAAATTGGAGCTACACGTTAAAAAAAAGGTACACGTATCAATATCGCCGGGAGCAAGCCGGGCAGAAAAACGCAATAAAAACAGGCGGTTCAACCTAAACTAAATTCTATCGAACATTAATATTTGTAGTGGTAAAAGTAAATAGATGTGAAATAGAATATCTCACTAAAATCGCTAGAAATGAACGTAATACGGGTATACTAGTGTACATGTTATGCCGAATTTCTGCGGATGCAGCGGTCGGTGATTTGGTCCACCGCATCGCGGGGACCGGACATCAAATATCCGCTTGCACCGCGACCAAGAACGGAAAATTAATAATTTTGTCATTCTCAAAATTATGTCCGACGAGCGCAACGTTAATTGCAAACGTGTAATTTGTTGACTGACAAATACATCACAAAGTGGAAAGCTTTAGGAAATGTATGAGCAATTAAATTTCTTGACACAACATACAAAATGTTAAACTGTATATGCTTTTGCACTTTACATTCATATTTGGCATCTATTAACTATGAACCAATGTATGTATAAGAGTAGAATTAGATTTGTAACTGTTAGTAGCTTGCAAGAATATAATATTACTTAACTGTAGACAGAATGGAAACTGAGCTAAGTCGATGATAAATAGTTAAGCTACTTAGTCCAATGTGCGAAGAAAAATCTTCTCCAATTAATTGTAAGGAAGAATAAGTTAATTGAGGAAACCATTCAGAAGAAAGAAATTAAGGATTAAATCAGCTATACACAATTATTATCTTGCATCTAACCGAGTTAAGTGAAGCGCCCTGTACTGTACGTTATTAACGCTAGTCGCAAGATTTGATACAAAGTGCTTACTGTTCTGTATGGCGCAAATTAGACAGGGAACTGATAAGTATTCCTAAAGCTAAGAGTAAATACAATGAAGAGCGACAATCCACTAAAATACTTAAACATTCTGAAATGAAACAGTATAAATTATTGATAACAAAACAGCGAGCTCTCTAGAACAAACTTCAACCTATCAGTCACCGTGCTTGTCAAATTTAATGTACCATAATTTGTTGAGCTTTCCTTGTATTTACACAGTTCTGAACAAGAGTTTTAGTTACACAGGACAGTTCATGTAACCGCATTTGAACTAGCCTGTCAATTAGCTTTCGGCGTTGGAAATGATTCAAAAATTAAAGCCTGACCACAACTCGGAGAGAATTTGGGAAGCACTTAGGCCGTGAGGCGTGGGCGTATTTTCGTATCATTGAAATACGACGATGGAGCCGCTGGGATGACGGCTATCGGAAGCAAAGGCATTACGTTTTTCTGGGACAGATAATATTGACACATCTCAAATTGGATTTGATCTTTGGACAAAGAAATAATTATTTTTTAAGCTTGTTTATTGGGCTGTTGTTATTTTTAGTCTACTGTTGTTTTGTGAACAGAAAGATAAAGAGGAACCACGATACGATCTTAAAAGAAAATAGGAAAATACTGCCGGATGCTAAGACGCTGCACGAGCCATCATTAAACAGGTTCCAAGTCAAAGAAAGGTAAAAATTATATGCTACCTTGAAGGTCTTTTTAACAGAGGGCTCTTGAGGGTTGTCTAATTGCAATAATTATGTAGTTATGTGTAAATATGTAATACCTACTCAAAATTTATTTAAGTTTGTACGTCTACTGTATTTTCAGTAAGTATATACAAAGTATTAGAAAAAATTGCTTCGCACGCTAAAAACTAAAATCTTACGAATATACTTAAGAATTTTAACAAAGTACATATGTATAAGCAAAGAGAGAAAACCTATTTCTTTAGTACGTTGTCCGTAAAGGTGATGAGAATTTACTACACTGTCAGGTATAATACTCAAACGGGCGAGTCCAAATGGTAGGAAGACACGGAACACATTAATACTGTGGAATCTTCGTTTAAAAGAAATTATATTTTTATTAAACGACCAATGTAATTTAAAAATATATGAAATCTTTCGAATACGCGGTCACTTTTCGTGGACTAAGTTTTAGACAACTCTTTATCTCTATCTCTCTTTATCTTTATCTCAGAAAATTTTACCCCGTCATCTTTTTCTGTCTGCTTATCAGCGGTGCTGTAAAACAACTTACCTGGTATAAAGCGGCGAGATGGTTGGAGGTCGCAATGAGGAACGGTTGGTTCACTCCCGGGTGATCCAAATCATGGGCGATAGCCGCCAGCAATGACCCCATAATTTCCAATGGAGTCAGATGATCACGAATCTAAGGACAAAACAAATTGAAATTTTTGTATAATAAATATACATACTAAATTAAACAAAAAATAACATCTCACTCAAGTTCGAAAAAAGCTCAACTAGTTTGTAGTTATATGGGGACGCTTAATCAAGAGCGTCGTGCGCTGCGCGGAATGTCTTGAAAGTAATCGAGCTTTTTTCGCTTCATATGAGTAAGTCATAACTTAGATTAACTATTTAAAATATTCGTTTAGTTTAAAACAAGCTATAATTTTGCACTCCATTCAATATGGTGCAGAATCGATTGAAAAGGTATTTGTAAATGACAGTTTCAATGCTAATTATTAGGCAGAATACAAGTCCTATTACTTTACTAAAAAACAAAGACACAGTTGTCAAAGTGACAGTAATAAACGGTTAAAGAAATAATAACAAAGTTACCCACATTGATGCATGTCAGGTCAATTCTAAAACCACCGTTTTGCATGTATTTACACGTTTGTATTCACTTTCCAACTACACCTTGGAGGTGCTGGGGGAGGCGGGAAGGGGTTAAAAGTGTCTGTCTGTGTATTAAATAATAAGTACATTCAATGATGTGGGTTATTGCCCCGCACCGAATCGATACCAAGAACTAGACAGTGCGTCGTCTTCATTCCCGACATGTGGTTTGCAAACGTTTTACGAAAATATTAAAAACGTAAAATTATTGACGCTATTTTGATGGAAATATTTTACGACATTAAATGAATGTGTGCCTGAACTTCGTTTCGGTTTATGGAAATTACCACGCCCTGTATAATTTTGAAATCTGTTACATTATGGTCTTATTTTTTTTTATTAAGTCCTTGCCAACTAGTCGAATTCAATACTTTTTTCGAACTGTCAAAAACGACGGTTTTCTATGAATTTTGTACGAGATTGTGTATAGTGACGTCACATTATACTTATTTCTAAAAACTTTAGTGGACAAATATTAAAATTAAGTTGGTCCTAAAATCAATTAATGAAAGTGTGATTATTTTTTAATATTTTAATGAATTGAACAGTCGAAATAATTTATTTTTATGGTGATCCTAAATGATTAAGGAAAGTACCCAATTGAATCATCACCTATTATGACTATCTAAGCAGTTAAATTATATGTAAGACTCGTACAAAACCAAATTATTTTCAAATATAACCACGCACAGCCGACATTATCCCGGCACCAACAGCTTTTAATATAAACTAGTGCACACTGGCGTCAGAAAAGTTGGTATTATAACATGAAAATTTAATTTTGTATAACCCAAATACTTGGGGCACAGTTGTGCTGCGGCTAAGACGAAGGACAGATGAGTAGGCAATACAATAAGAGCACGTCTTTTGTGCAGAATAGCGCAGTACTCCATTATACAATTACATACAGTGGTTTGCTGTAAATGCCGTATTCCTGTGCACGGATGAACATCATTATCGAGTAAATTATTCTCTTATCACGATTATTGCACCTAATTGACGAATTGTAGTAACTAGTAGCAAATATTTGGGTACTTCAATAAATAAGGTGTATCGGAATCCGAACGCTAACACGCTGTATATCATCCATCCATGTCTATGTTGTACCATATTAAGCGATCTTTTTATACTTTGCTTGATAACCCTGACGCTTCAATGGAGCGTAAGCTATTGTCACCAAAATAACCTAATTGATATAACGATTTTAATTATTCTGTGCCAAACCTGATATTAATACACGCGCCGTCATTTTGAATTTGCATTAAATATAGGTACTAAAACATTTTAGTGACTTGGTTAATTTAATTTATATATGATCGAGAGTGTTAGTGATGATCTACTTCAATGGTGTAAACACTTAAAGGTAGGTACTTTGATCATTCAGTTTTTTATTCAACTCTACATTATGTACAAGTACGTACTTTTATAAAGTTAGTGCAGAAACCCTGTTATTAATATAAAATTTTCATTATTTTTTAATGTGGATTGAGGTTTAAAATAAAGAAGTAATAATGTGTAACACAATGGATCACGTTTTGGGAAAATGTAAAAAAAGTCTATAGTCATTATTAACTACGAAAATTAATACGCTTATGGCAGGCGGTAAACGAGCAGACAGCTAACCTAAAGGCAAGCAATACGCCCGAACTTCGAAACCTGTAACACCTAAGGAGTTACAAGTTCACAAGTGCGTTGCCAGCTTTTAGCCGGGATTAGGCGTTCGCTAAAATGGCTCAGAACACCAGAGAGTAAGTACAACAAAGTGGCCTGTGTTATTGCAGACCATAATCTGCACCTGTTCCAGGGAAGCTACAGAATGATAGATTGCATACACCGGTAAAGTAACGTCTATCGAATGGAGCGTAGAATAGTACTGACTCCCGAACAATGATTGTACTAAGCTTCTTCACTTGTTTCTCTAGGGTGGCTGGTAATTTGCTTTGCGAATCGATTTTGGTTTGTGCAAGCTTCGATCAGAAATGATTAAAGACACATAGGATCAAAATCGTTGAATGTTTAGCCTGTTTAATTGTTTTTGTCAAAAACTAGGTCCAGTCAGAGATGTTGATTGTCAAGTCCCGTAATCACGTTTTTATACTTTACATATTATTATGTATTGCTCTTAAAAGTGACATTTGTGTCAATAGTAATTTCATTAAACGCCGATTTTTGTCGCGAAGAAACTAACGGGTTACCAGGGTTCTGGCTCGACATGCAGGAGAAGAAACGGGGTGGTTTTTAGTCAGTAAGAGTCTGACACTCTCTCCCGCCTCACCCAGGCGGGAGCAGTCATTCGATGATTTTCCCCCCTTAAAAAAAAGCGCCGATTTTTCAACCATCAGTTAATTCTTAACTGTAGATTAAAATTAACACATTTTAGTATGGAATAATTGTCGAATATTGAAAGTTATTTCTCAGTTAACATTTATCTGGTGTTGGAAAAATTAACCCCTTATAGATATATCAAAAGTTCCACATGTTTTTATTCTGACACTAACGAGCTTAATAATGTTTATTACGTATTTATAAATGCAAAAACGAATCTGAAATATTTCCTATTTATTGCAAAATGTTTCCAGTGCGAATTAATTTGGTTATCGTCGAAAAACGTTGTGTCCTTTTGAAAATGTAACGTGAAATTTTAAAATCACTCTTTTAGCTTTGAGCGTAGTTGCATCAGTAAAATTGATTAAATTAACTGTACTTAATCAGTTTTAACTCATTTTCTCTGAAGTACCGATTGGCAGCCAATTACATTTTGACGATTAAAACAGCACATACCTATGTATATGAATTAATAGGGAATTTATATAAAGGCATTTAAATAAATGTTTAAATTACTCAAAATGTTTACGTTACACGAGATTGGAAAGCAGCGTCGATTTCTAAGATGCTTAAAAGATGGTGGACTATCTATCTGGTATAGACATGTGAGGGAATAAAGACTTGTGATGGAACGAGTACCAAATTATGGAAAGGTAGATGACAACTAAAGAAACGATAGATAGATTGCATGAAGAATGGTCTGAGAGAAAAAGCAGTTTGCGATGGGATCACTCCTTCATCACGATTCTAAAAGAAGAGGAAATCTTGGCTTTGTGACAAATGGTTTCACTGCAGTGCGGGTGGCAATAATATAAGTAATAAACGATCGCCAATGTTCATATGAAGAGAGCACTAGAAGAAGATGATGTGACGACGTTTAATACCTTATGGGCTTAGGATAAGTGCAAGTAGAAGAAGTACAAAGAGAAGACACAAGAGATTCTTTATAACTGTTCTTTTTTAGGAGACAAGCCCGCCACAATCTTCTGAAATCATTGCAACTCCTGTAAGCCCGGATCGAAAATAGATACAACCCGCAAAACACCGGAAAACTGAAGTCCGGCGCGTCCCAGGGACATGAATAACTGTCTCGGATCCCGCAACGAAATAAATCAGAAGATATTATTATCATCATCAACAGCCTATAACTGTCCACTGCTGAGCAAAGCCTCTTCTCACACAGAGAAGGTTGAGCATTAATCACCACGTTTGCTCAATCGGGTTGGTGATTACAAACTTATAATTAGAAATTATAAGCCCAGGTTTCCTCACGATGTTTTCCTTCACCGTTTGTTTTTGTTTAGATAATCTTAGAAAGTAACTAAATAATAACTCGGAAAAAGTCACATTGGTACTTACCGACTACCACGACATCTAGATATTATATTAGAGGTGAAGAAAAAACGATGATATTTCTAACTGTTATTTAAAATATCTAAATTATTAAGTGTAAATATTGTTGTATTCGCAACCATGCTTCGTTTATTCGAAGGTACACATTTTTCCATTGCCGCTCTCAGACTTAGTAAGTATATTTTATCAAATACAAAATTTATTTAAGACCACAATTCGTGCTCGGTTTGTTCAGCAACAATTCTTATAGGTATTTGGTTATTTGCTTTCTTACTTAAACTTTCGACGAAAGGTTTTTATTTTGGGGTTTAGAGACAATATTGTTTTTGGACAATTATTGTGAGTGCCTATTGTTGTGTACTGATAAAGTTTACTGAGTGGATCTGGTTGTTTAAAAATAGGGTCGGTGATAATTGTAAGGTATTAGGAATTCTTGCTTATATACATTGGGTTAGAGTTTCTTATACCTTTTTTTTAACGTGTGGAAATATTCATGGATACCCTATGTCTAGACAATGAGCGTCAGATAGCAGGTTATGTCGGATTCTGTCCGACTGAAACCACACACTCAATCCCAGAGAACAATGAGAGAGTCACTGGGTACTCGAATGAACGAACTTACTTGCGTAGCGATTCTGATACCTAGTTCTGCGACACTCGTTATTAAGAGAAAGAAACGCTTATTGGCCACGTCGCGTTACCATTTGTGTTTACCATAATTTAGTATTTGAACATTCAGCAGATTCTTACTTTATTTTGATCGGTAAAAGGTTTTAAGCAATAAACTATTAACCAAGTAATGAATGAATACTTATGAATTCAACTCAGTTAAAATATAAAATTATT